CTAGATCCCCCGAGCCATTGGTCCACACATCTCTCTAACAATGTCAACAATTTGGTCCCTAGGGACCATATTTTGTGCTTGCTGAACCAATACTGGAGGAACAAACACAAGATTTGGTGGGCCAACTTGTGCTTGTAGTCCTCTTGGTCCATAAGGTGGTATATTTGGAACTGGTTGTCCCTGTGGTGCAGGTTGCTGTTGGGGGTGTGGGTAACCCCTTTGAGCCTGTCCTACGAAAGGACCTGCGAAAGGCGTTGGAATTGGTGTTGTGTCCCTTCCATTTGTAGGAAAACCTTCCAATCCCCTGAGTATAGATTCGAATAAGGGATTAGTGAAACCCCTTGTGCCAGGTATGGCTTCGAACATGGGATTGAGAACCATTCTTATGCCATTTTCTTGCACTGGGCCAGATCCACCAAATTGCATGGCTTCACTGTTAATTACTGAGGCATTTTGACCTGCTATAGGCCTCAGAATAGGTTCATACCAAGATTGAGGTGATGATCTTTCATAGTTCTAATTATTAGTTTGACCATTAGAATGTCCATTAACTTGCATAGGCTGTTTATCTCTAGCCAATCTTTGTTGAGGGACATTCAAAACTTCCTCCATGTGTCTTACGTTTGTTAATTGGTGGTTATTCATTCGATCCAAAAAAGATGTTGCCCACCTTTCCATTGTGTTCATTAATTGCTGTCCCATTGCATCTATTAAGCCACCCCATGGATTTATTGGCTGAGTAGATGAGACAGTGGATGGTCCAATTCCTTGGTCTCGTCCAACATTACGAACATGTGGTACTTGTTCTGAAGTACTGGTCTGTTCGACCATAGGTTCTAATAAAATGGGAGTTTCCACATGATGTGTTATCACATTATCCTCTGGATTAGGTATCTCTACCTCTCCTTCCACGCCTTCTTCCAAGCATTTATTTTCTCCTTGTCTCCTACGTCTAGCCATTTCAATTATGTCCCACTAGGCGTGCCAAAAATATATGTTGACTTTTTGGCTTTCGAAGGTTATTATTGTAATTACGAGCGTGCCAGCAAGGATCAATCAGTCCTTACAGAAAATTAATTGCCAACCAATTATCAGACGATTGTGTTTTAGTTCTTTCAGCCTCAATGAAGAGGACTTTTACTGGTGGCTTGATTTAGGAGAATTAAGCAAAATAACAATTAAATAAAGAACAGTTGAAGTATTTCATTAACATGAAAAAACTTACAATGATTCAAACTCAGTCTCGTAGAGTTTTATAGCAACAATCTACTTGAAACTACTCCTATGAACGAAGTGCAGTGCAGTGCAGAAATTTAAAGTACAGAAAATGTAAGACTGGAAATGTAAAACTGAAATAAGTATAATAAGGCTGGTTTTTTGGATCTGAGTCTGGGGGCTTTTTCTAGGACTTTCTGTGCTATTTATGCTGCTCAAGGATGACTATCGAACTGCATTTCTAACCGTCGAACTACTCCTCCATGATCGCTGATCATGTTGCCTCAAGATTAGCTCAATTATGCCATTACTTGCAGTTAGACTTCCCTCATAAATTTGAATTTGAAATGTGAGTAACTGTTGACGCCACATCACCTTGCATCTCTTTGTTGATCCACTGCTACTCAGATCTCGTCATAACCAATACTAATTGCCACGTGTACGATCAGGATCGAAGACTTGAATAGTCTTCCTATATTATCCTTATTTTGCCACGCGTCGAATTGACGCGTCGAATTGTAATTGGCTTGTACAAAATATGTAGCCAACATAATCACTTTTTTATTTATTTTCTTAAGAGACTCCTTATTCTTTCTCTATTTTATTAACAAATTCTCTATTTTTACTTTATTTTATTAAAATATAATTTTTAATTATAAATTTAAAAAAAATAAAAATCATAAATGTGTACTACAGTTCCTAAACAAAACAAAACAAAAGAAAGCAAAGCAAAATAAATATTTATATATATAAGGGAGCTACAGTGACTCCCTACAAATAGGGAGCCACTGTAGCAAAAACTAATTTAGACACTTCACAAATGTTTTTTCAAATTTTAGTTCCTTTAAGGCAAGGGTTTTTTTTTTTTTAAATATTTTTTTAAAGACAATGGAAGTAGAGAATATAAGCCGCTACCTCTCTTAAATATGCCCACAAAGATTTTTATTTTTGGTAGTTTGGACTTGCAAATACAACTCACATATCGGTGATAAATATTTTATTAAAAAAATGACGGAAAAAAATTACTCACGAAAAGAAATCTTTCATTAAAAATGAAGGAGAAAAGTCATCACAAAAAAAAAAAAAAAAAAAAAAGAACAAAACCAGAGAGGCAACGGGGAAGAAGAAAGAAAGTAGTGGCAACCCACACCACTGTGACCCCCATAGCCAGTGACCTCCGGCTTTCCTTCACCTACGGCACCACCACCTTCTCGCCATCGCCGCTGCAGCCCACCTTTCTTTCCTCTTCTTCTTTCTCTTCCTCCTATTTTCTCTCTCTAAAACTACCAACTCACTGACAATCATCCCTATAGCCGAGAGCCCCCTTCTCTCTCTCTCTCTCTCTCTCTCTCTCGCGCACGCACGCGAGTGAGCGATCTCAATCTAGCCACCAACGACGAGCCACCATCTCCATCTAGATCTAGGGTTTGGCCACTTCTACTCCCTAGTCGCCGCTGCCGCCTATGCGAAACCCTAAGACTTCAGAGAGAATTCAAGGTTTTGATTTTTTGGGAATAAACTAAGTATACATTTATAGAAATTGATAAAGAAATTCTCTTCACCTGTGATTTGTAATATATATATATATATATATACATGTGTATTGTAGATTTATATAGATATAAAGAGATATATATATATATATAAAGAGATATTATAATTTATTGAAGGTGAATAGGAATGCAACGGAAGATGAATGGATTGCTTGTTTTTAAGATCTTTGTTGTTGTGCTAGCTTCTTAAAAGTACAACAGAGCTTCTTCAAATCCAAAGAAAAAGGTTACAAAATTTTTAAATCAAAACTAAAAAACTATATATACATATATACATACACACTAATATATATGTATTATTGTCTGATTTTTCTTATGGTGTGTCGGCCATGGACTTCACTCTGTGTTGGTCTCAAAGATCGATTCTCTGTTGAGGACGATGATCGATAAAGAGAGAAAGAGTAGCAACTGAGCTTGCTTTTTCTTGTTAATTTTATTTGTGTTCTACTACTTTTTTTTATTTTTATTTTTTGAAAGTTTGCCCCAAAACGACGTCGTTTTGGGGCACTGCAAGAAACCCCGCAGGAAAGGACCGCAGAGGATCCGGACTCCCTCCGAAATACACACAGCACCAAAAAGCACCCTCTTTGTTGTCCTTCAAGACAAGCCTCAATCTCAGGTCTGCTTTGTTTTCTAGCTTAGCCCTCTGAATTTTCATATATTATTTTAAACAATGTTAGAGTATCGCCAACGGTGTATTTTTTTTTTCCATTAAATTTGAGTAAAAGCTTCAGTTGATATCAAGTGTTCCAACAGAAGTTTTTAAAACTTCATCAGAACATCGATCGACTAAGCAAATGTCCGGCTGGCCAATCGGCCGGTGTTATTTTTTTATAAATTTTTTCCTTGAGGTGGTCATCTGAGGGACATCCGGTAATAAAAATCCAACAGTTATGAATAGTGATTTGATGAAAGGCATATCCAACCTCAATTTGGTGAAAGATTTGAGAAATCTCGGATTTGATGAAAGATTTGGTGCTGGGTTGAAGTAGCAAAAAGTAAGTTTTTTCATCAAATTTAAATTTGATAAACCATTTGGAGAATCATTGGAGATGGTCTTAGAGACTCATATTTGATACTTCTAAATTAGTATTGCAAACAAGCTAAGTCAAGTCGAGTCGAGTTTTAGTATATTTGAACTTTTTTATTAAGATTTTAACGAGTTCGAATTCTAGCTCAAACTCAATAAAAATTTAATGAATCGAGCTTGAGCTGAGTTGGCTTAAACTTGGTTCGCGTTCGAGTTTGTTCATGAGCCTTAACGAGCTAAAAAAATTATAAATTCATATTTACGTATGAAATTAAAATTACAATTGAAATTTTGAATATATAATTATATATACAATATATATAAATATACTTTAAATAAATAAATAATAAAAAGAAGTTAATATCTTACCAAAATAATTATATTTACCACTACTATAATATAAATATATTATCTATAGTTCGTTATTATTTACATATAATAAATTTAGCTATTATTTACATTTATATTATTTAAATATATAACTAATATATTTATTTTATTATTTAAATAAATGTTAAACGAGCCAGTTAAAGAGTCGAGTTTTAATATCTTTAAGTTTGTTTATTAAGATTTTAATGAGTTCAAATTCGAACGTAATAAAAATTTAACGAACCAAGTTTAAACGAGTCCTTCCTAAGTTGAACTCGAACCTGTTCACAAACGGCTCTATTCATTTGTAGCCTTTATCCCAAATGCAACACTCTAACGATATGACAAAAAAATAGAGCCCTACATAATTGAGTATGTGACAAATTAAAAATTAATACCTCATTTTATATCATTATAGATGAAATTGTGAGAATTTTATCTTTTTGTTTTAATAAATGTTTACTTATTAAAAGGTAGCCGTAATTCATATTAGATATGTGTTATGAATTAGTAATAATTTTTTTTTAAAATTTTCATGAATATTGATATATATATATATTTATATATAGTATTTTTTAGGTATTAATTTTCAAACAAGTTACATATATACGTGTGTAAAGTTAAACAAGTTTTCATTTTTCCCCCCAAAAAAAAAAAATCTGAAAATATGTTGTACAATCTCATTATTATGCTAGATATGATGTATTCAAGTTGATACGATGATCAGTAGGTCAAGTCAATATTAAGATAACTAACAGAATTAATTAAATAAGTCGTGTTAATGTTAAAATATTTTGAACACAAATCCACAATCATACAACACAAGAATAACATGACAGCACGAATCCAACCGCTAATATTATTCAACCAGTTGAATATACATAAAAGTACAAAGAAAATGCCACTGCACCTACCATCAAACAAATAAAATGTTGTATAATTACACACATAAACTAGCTACAATCTTTTACAATCAGCTGTATAAGAAATCTAAAAGCTCCTTTTTTTTCAAAGAAAAAAATAGAAAGATTACTGAAACTTTACAACTATGCAGGAGATATCATCCCTGCTTTTCTTAGAAAGAGCCTCCTCTGTTAAATGCTTCGCCGCTGAACGAGCATCTTTTATGTTTTTGATAGAATCCACTGCATCTTGGTTCGACATCACCTGCCCAGTGAACAAAGGCCACAAATTGAGAATTTCAGTTGCATCATCTAAAATTACAAGAGAATGAAACAAAGATAGGGTCCTCAAAAGCATTCTTATCAAATCGGAATTGAATTGTAAAATTTACTCAATTTAAGATTCAATAGCATGAATCGAATCATTTTGATTGAAATTTGTATCAAATCGTACAAATCGAATGTGAATTGTACTATCCTAACAACCAAGTAAAATAGAAAATGATGGAAAATCAGTTTAAGAAAGCAACAAACCTTCCATAACCCATCACTTGCCAAAATGATAAACTCTGTATCATCGTCTATCAGCTCCATCACCACATCAGGTTCTGAGCTCAGATGTCTCTTCAAGGTCTTGTCACCAAACGCCCTTGCCACTGCCAGCTGCCCATCAACTCGAGGGACATCACCTAAGAGTGTCACAAACTGTCAGTTAATTATGCAAATTTAGCTGCCTGAGACATTCACTAGCTCCGATCTCTACTTTGGCAAATGGTCCACTTTTACAACCCAAGAAATCAGGTAACACATCCAAAGTACTATTATCAGAAAATAGGGAAAATGAGAATTTGAAACCTTAAAAATTATAAAAGAAGCATTAAAATTTATAAAAGATGCAAAGTTTATCACTGAAAACAAAAATCAATTCTGACTCCATTCCAGCTAGATGGAAAGGCTGAATATAACTGCCTGTGGTATCCCAAAACCACACAAATATATGTATAGGATTCATAAAATTTCGAATAATAATGATCTTTGACAACTAGACCAACCCAGCAACCATCTTTGACATAAATCACTCCAACTCAAGTTCACAAATATCAAAACATGCCTTACCTGGAATGTTTGATACAAAGCCACCCTTGCTTTCAATCGTCTTTTTTTCCTTGCTTGGTTCATGATCAACCGATAACTGTTTGGCTACACCCTTCTTGCATATAACAGCCCGAGAATCTCCCACATTCGCAACTACGAGCTTCTGACTGTTGATCAGTATTGCCGTTACTGCAGTTGATCCTCCTATTCCCAGTGAAAATGAGTTCGCCAAAATATCAACATCAGTCGTGTGATAGGCTCTCCTCATTGCACTTTTTGTATCGCTCCAAAAGTCATGCTGCTTGCAACAAGAGAAGAGAGATTGATACATGACAAGGTCGTACAAATAAAAAATAATAGTAATAAATATGCAAGGTGATTACCAGAACAAAAGGAAGTGAGAAAAAGAGAAGAAAAAGAAGAAACTATAAGAAATATCAAGAAAGTGGCTGCATGCCCGAGGGTGCAAGGGTTCATGGAGTTGAGGCAAAAACAAAGCTAGAGAACATTAGGAAACATTAAATAAACATGAGTGTGCACACACTATGCATATGCTATGAAAAACTCAGGAAACCAAATTTGAATTGTTCACAATCAAAAGCTGAAACAGTTTATGGGGGTTTAAGAATTAAAAACTAAAACAGTTAATAAAAATTGAAGCATTTGAGAAAAGTTGAGAAATCAACAACTGAAGCAGTTTCTTATGACAATTTTGGAATGAGACAAAACGCGACACTTCACTTTTTGGTTTACACCAAATAAGTGTTCTGGCATTATATATTAGCACAGATATAGGGCATTTCCGAGGAAATACGCAGTACCTCTTTTAAAATATTTTCAAATAGGTGCAATTGCAAGTAATTTGCAACATCATGGCCCATATGGCCATCAAAAATTGCAAATAAACCCAACTCATTATTCTCTATTTTCTTGAATTCAGAAACTAAATAATCTTCCATGGCATGATTTGATTTTCCTTTCACAAGATGAAAGCCATGAGTAATATGCTTTGACATTCTACTTTTGCTCTTCCCTGCATCTGGTGTGACTGGTGTGGTTATAGCACAGCATGTCTTTTCCTGTACAGAGTATTGAACCAAAAAATAAGAATTCAGTGATTTATCCATATAATTTCAGGAAACTAAAGGATTAAAACACCACATTGCAACTCCATCCACAGTGAGGTACTATGGCTTCAATTCCTCATTTAGTTCCGTTTTTCCTTAGTCAATAATCCTTATTTTAGTTACAGGAAAAAAAAAAAATACATGGGAATTTTTATTTTGAACACAACAATTAAAGCAAATTACCATACCAAGACAGTAGCCTCATTAATAGATCAATAAAATATCACATCTAACCACCCAGAATTAGGGGGATGAAGGATGGACACCTCTTCAAACACATAATAGTGTCTGACACGTGTCGAACACGCTCCAGACAAGTGTTAGACACACTGGGGACACATTGGATGCATTGGGAACACAACAATTAAAGCAAATTACCTTACCAATAAAGTAACCTTACCTCATTAATAGATCAATAAAATACCACATAACCATCCAATATTAGGGGGATAAAGCACGGACACCTCTCCGAAGGTCACATACCAGTGACTGACACATGTCATACACGAACACATGCCAAACACGCTCCGAACACATGTCGTACAAATTGGGGATACGTTGAGTTTATGTTGGGAACATGCTGGGGAAAGAATGTCCCAATTTTTTTTATTTATTTTACCGAAATAGCATACTCATGGTTAATGAATTTGACAAGAATAAACATTTGACATATCATAAATATACCAAACCAAACTAAGGCTTGTATCCTAATCAAGTAGGGTCGGTTATGTGAAACTTTTTTTGCCATTTAGGTCTATCAAAGGCTATATGTTGAGTTAGATTAAATAAATGCATATATTTTTTACTACCACATCCCATGTCATCTTAGGCATTTTTCCCTCCCCTAGTATCTCCATTTATGGTGATCATATCAGTTTTCCTTCCATTGCATCTATAGGTTTCCATTGTACATAACCGTATATAACCAAAGCATCTTAACGTGTTCTCTCTCATCTTCAATAGGTTGCTACACCTACCATTTCACCAATATATTCATTTTTAATTCTATCTTTTCTAGTCTTACCACACATCCATCCAAGCATTTTCATCTCAAGTACACTTATTTTATACATATGTTGTTTCTTAGTTACCCAGCGATATGTCCCATAAAGCATCATTGGCCTTATAATTGTTCTAAAAAAAATTCTTTCAATTTTGTTGGTATTTGCCGATCACATAATATGGCAGATACACTCCTCCACTTAAACCAACATACTTCGATTCTATGAATCATATCATTTCCAACCTTACCATCCTTATTAATAAGCGAACCTAAGTAATGAAATGATTATTCGTTGTTATCTTTTAGTTTTTAATTTTTACTTCTCCATTATTTTCAATTTTATTGTTGCCAAAGTTACACTCCATATATTTAGTTTTATTTTTACTAATTTTAAACCCTTTTGACTTGAGTGTTCCTATCTATATTGGTAATTTAGTGTTAATTCCTTCCTTAATTTCATCTACTAGAACGATATCATCAATGAACAACATACACTATCGGATGTCATCCTGAATGTGTTTAATTTATTCGTCTATGACTAAGGCAAATAGATAAGGACTTAAAGCTAACTCTTGATGCAATCCTATAGTGATTGGGAATTCATTAGTTTCTCCTGCAATTGATCTAATTGTATTCACAACTACATTATACATGTCTTTTATCATATCAATATACCTTTTGGTTACATCTTTTTTCTCCAACACCCACTGTATTATATCATTAGGCATCCTATCATAAGTTTTTTTTTTTGTAAATCTATAAAAACCGTAGGTAGATCCCTCCTTTTCTCTTTGTAATTTTCTATTAAACTTCTTAACAAATAAATTGTTTCCATAATTGATCAACTGGGCATAAATCCAAACTAATTCTTTGACATGGTTATTGTTATCCTTAAATGATATTCAATCACTCTCTCCGACAATTTCATTAACTCAATGCCTCTATAGTTGTTACAATTTAGATATCTCCTTTATACACACACACACACACACACACATATTTCTTTCACTTCAGAAACCCAAACAATTTGATTAGGGTTAGTACACAAAAATTTAAGGTCATTTCTTCAAATTGTTCTCCGTTTCTAAGTTCATAGCCTTCGCAGTAGTTTCATCGATGTTACCAACCAAATAAAAATCTTGTTCAGGAAGATCATCTAATTCTCTGGAAAAGATCAATTGAAACCCTCTTAACTGTTGTTGCTAGATTAACATATTTCCCTAGAGAACCGATTACTAGAATACTTTATTTTCTACTCGTCAAATATTTTTCTAGTCATTAGAATTTTGTTAGCCAAGACACCCTTCTTACCTAAGCATTTCCAAGTCTCAATAGGGATACAATCTAGTACTAATGCCTTACCCGATTTATCATCTTCTGTGCAACTTTGACTTCAAATTCCCTAAATCAATGATTGAAGGAGCAAGGTTGACCGAGCTAGGCTAGGCTCAAAAAGGATGGTCATTGAGGCCCAAGAGCCTGAGTGCATTAGATCAAGCTGGGCTAGGCCTAGAGTACACTCTCTCTTGCATTTGGGCCTAGCTATAGAGCCCGCATATGTTCCTAGAGCGTGGCTTTTACAGATAGGTCACTACAATTGACCAAGCAAGAAGATGGCTTGCGATGCAAACGATTACTCCAATTTGGCATGGACGGAAGTGCCGAGTGGTGAATCGATTAGTTGGGGATATTTGCTAGGTTGGACGGAGTCATTATGCCCCTTTTGTAGGTGAGCCTGGTTAGGGTTAGCTCAGTTGAGCACTTATTCTACCGCGCGGGTGATGGATACATGCACGATTCTATAGGGACTCAATAAGCATTATTTCCTTAGTCAAGAGTCCTAGATAAACATTATTTTGGGTGGTGTCAATCCACATAAGAGAAAGCTATTAACGGAAGTTGAAGTCAACGTTAAGAGCATTTGATCCATCTTACGCGTACATAACCCTAGATTCCTTTTTCCTTTCCTTTCTCTATTGATCTAAAGTTTTGAATTAGACATCATAGGGGCTTTTTCGGCAACCAGCCTACCGGATTAGTTTATCATCTTGGTCTTGCAGGTGCTACTTTACTCACCGGAGGCTTGGGGAGAGAGTTATAGTTGTATGTTTATCAAATGTGGAAAATTGCATCCGTACCAATGATAAAACTTATATTCTCTAGCCTTGCCTTCCCTTACTTATAGAAAGGGGTGGGGTTGAGATAACAATAGGTGAAGGTTTCGGGATAGTGATGGTGGCCGGTGCGTGGTTCTGAGGGTTCTGTGGAGGCGCAGTAATGGGAATAGGTGTTGGGGTAGGTTGAAGAGGGGCATGGATGGAATTGGTGTTGGCCTAGTTAGGGAGGGCAACCTTCGTCTATATGTTGCTCGTGAGCCGCCAAGTACCAATCTTGCAACAGTAAAGGATCAGTCCTTCACTTGCTGATCGTTCGAGAGTCGAACTTGCTCTCTTGCCACACCTTTCACTCACTAGCTTGAGTCAATACAGTAAAATCCAAAAAAAAAAAGTACAGTATGGGTACAACTTGGTACGTTTGTAAAAAAATATTTATTTTTAATTTGGAATAATGCAAAAATTGATTAAATGGTTTACTTTGTTAAGATCCAACTTACAGCGTGTGGGTTGTCCTATCGGCGGGGATCTCATCATCGGAGAATTTTATCACCCTAGGCGCCATGATTTGTCCGACCAAGTCGGCCAGCCTTTCGGGAGTGATATAGTCTTTTACATGGGCCTTTTGCAGAACCTCAATCATTTGCTCTCGGTGATGTTCCGAGGTTATCAATAGATCAACAATTTAGATCTGCGCGGGGATCTTTTTCAGGTGTTCCGCCACATTCTACTCTGGTTTCTTGAGAGCCTTGTGAAAGGCCTCTGTTGCTGGGTCTTTCTCTACTGCTTTCTCCTTTCCTTGGTCCTTCCGTGGTTCTCAAATGGTCAGGTTTGAAGCATCGTCCCGACCTAGTCATATTTCCTATCTCAGCACATTCTTCACCCTCTTTCTTCTCCACTTTCAATGCTACCGTCCTGCTTTCATATGTCCAAGACACCTTTGAAAGCCTTACCTTCCCTTACTTATAGAAAGGGGTGGGGTTGAGATAACAATAGGTGAAGGTTTCGGGATAGTGATGGTGGCCGGTGCGTGGTTCTGAGGGTTCTGTGGAGGCGCAGTAATGGGAATAGGTGTTGGGGTGGGTTGAAGAGGGGCATGGATGGAATTGGTGTTGGCCTAGTTAGGGAGGGCAACCTTCGTCTATATGTTGCTCGTGAGCCACCAAGTACCAATCTCGCAACAGCAACGGATCAATCCTTCACTTGCTGATCGTTCGAGAGTCGAACTTGCTCTCTTGCAATACCTTTCACTCACTAGCTTGAGTCAATACAGTAAAATCCGAAAAAAAAAGAGTACAGTATGGATACAGCTTAGTACGTTTGTAAAAAAATATTTATTTTTAATTTGGAGTAATGCAAAAATTGATTAAATGGTTTACTTTGTTAAGATCCAACTACAGTTAACATTTAATGCCAAAAGTAAAAGTATAAATTAAATTTAAATGTCATTATATTAAATAACTTAATTTTAAAATCATACTAATCATAAAATTAAAAATAAAAAGTAAGGGCTGGTTTGGTAACCCTTGAAAAAGCCAAAAAGTCAAAAAATTATTTAAAAAGTTAAAAAGTTATTACTATTTACCAAAAAAAAATTAAAAAAATAATATACAAATATTATTACAAATAAAAAAAAAAGCCCCAAGATTAGACATTCCTTGGTGGTGGAGTAAGTTGACTGGGGAAACAAAAAAATTGTAGTAAAATATTTACTAAATTAGATGGTAAAGTTGGGCCCGTGGGGGCCCACCATCGGTCCCGTTTTGATAATCTGAACTGTTCAATATGTAGAACTAGTCTAGTACTATATGCTTGTAAAAAATCACGTCTATCGG